AGCGCTCCGCTCGGACTGAAGACGAGCAGAGGTTGATTCGGTTTGTAGTATTTCTACATCAAGTCATGGGAAGGTCCATAGGTGGGGTCAGACAAAGGTTGTCAGCCATTCGTTATGCACATGTTGCGGCAGGATACCCTGATCCACTGGTCGGGCGACCTCGGTTGTGGGCAGCGGTTGCGGGTCTACAACGTTGGGAAGGCGCCCCAAAACGAAAGCTCCCTGTTACCCCCAACATGTTGCGATGGTTGGTCCAGCACTTGAAAAGTAGCGGTTTATCAGTTGTCGATCAAACCATGATCAAAGGAGCCCTTCTTACAGGTTGGTTTTTCATGATGCGGGCCAGTGAACTCTTGCCCAGTACCAATGGAGAAGACCCCATGAATAGGGCGCTCCGCCCAGCTGATGTTGCTTTCTTTTCGCATGGGCAGCCTACCATAGGCGCCAAGGCCGATGAAGTCGTAGTGCAGATTAGATCTTCAAAAACCGATCAGTATGGTAGGGGCCAAACACGGTCACACCACCGCTCCGGTGGAGATCTCTGCCCTGTTGAAGCCTTAGCCGCGCTACAGGTCCTACAGCCCCATCGGTGGCGCAGCCCTGAAGACGAGGCGCCTTTGTTCCGCTATGAAGACGGGACGGGGCTTGACAGAGAGGGCATCACCCATTTCATCAAGATAGCTGCATTGGCCGCCGGGGTTCCTGGCGAACTCGCTGGTTCACACTCACTACGTAAGGGGGGAGCCACTGCATTTTTCGCAAGTACTGGGGACTTAGAAAGGCTTAAGAGGTACGGTGGTTGGTCATCCGATGCTGTTCATGCTTACCTTTATGAAGATCATACCGCTCAGAAAGGGATTTCAGAAGGGATGTTGGGTACCAGCCTCATTACACTCCCCAGCCAAAAAGACCCCGGGGTCCGTAGGCATCCAGCGGTTGTTCCAACTGAACCCCAAGAGTCCTATCCTGGTTTATTGGGGGTCCCTCAAGATGAGTTATTCCATAACAGTCATGGAGGATCAAACCCTTTTAGCAGCCCAGTTGCCACGAAGCGAACATCCAGAGCTCCTCGAGGTTCAAACACCAATCGTGCATTTTCGTGGGCACCAGATCGTAAGGTATCGTTTGCAGTGAAGGCTGGTGCTATGGATGCTACTGATGAAAGTGCCGATGGGGGACGAAAGCCAGCAGCTCCAGATCGAGCCAATGCAGCGAACCTCTTTCTAGCAGCTCACCCAGGACTAGATCTTTATCAATTCCTGGGTGTTCCACCCGGTGCGACTCCAGCTCAGGTGCTCACCGCATATCGTCGCAGGTCCCGTGAGACTCATCCAGACCGCTTTGCAACTGCTGGGGAAGATGTCCAGAAAGCCAAAGGAGAGGAGTTTAAGATGTTGGGAATGGTCCGAGAGATCCTCTTGGATCCACTGATGGCCACTCAATACATGAGGTGGAGACAAGAGCAAATTGCTGCAAAGCATGGGCGAGGCCGTTCCCCAGTTTTTCCAGCTGGTGTCTATGCCAAGCAAGCTTCATCATTCCAACAAGCCAGATTAAGTTTTGATCGGTCCTCCACTCCTGCTGGCGCAGGAGCCAGCAGCTCGGGAGGAGCAGGCCGGGAGGTGCCTCGTAAACCGCCCCCCCCTTCACAGGGATATCCTGGAGGAGGAGCGCAAGGAGGACCGCCCCCAGCCAAAGCCCCTCCTGCTCCAGCAGGGACCGCGCAAAAGCCAAGGAAACCTCCACCGCCCGCGAATCCGCCTACTCCGAGCTCAAGTGCGAAGCCAAGGAAAGCACCGCCACCAAGAAATGATGATGGGAGGCCCAGAGGACCTACCACCCCACCAATGCAAAAAATGGCACCCACGCAAGCTATTCCAAAGGGAGCACCGCCAACACCGGCCAAGCATTTCCCCAGGGCGACCCAACCATACACTGGAGGGGGCATGGTGGACGATTTGCGAGTTCCTCGCATCGCACTGGCAGATGCAGGGGTGAAACGATCAGACGCTCCGTCTGAGTCTTGGTGGTCAGAGACGTCATCCAGATATAGGGCCCCTTCGAGCTGGTTGGAGCCCGGGTCTGAGCCTTGGGTCGAAGATGACCTTCCACCGGAGAGCACCGTCCCAGACAACGAGGATGACTATGTGTATGTTGAGGTGGAAGCTGAAGACGATGACATGGACATCCTCCAAGACCACCAATTCGATGAAGAAGATGGGGACGAGCCGGCATGGGAAGAGCTCCCTGAGGAGGGGACCGGGTCTGAGCAAGTCTTCCAAACCTTCGATCAAGCCGTGATGCAAGGACTGCTCCAGTTCATGGATTTCGTGAACAGAGGACGGGCCAAGATGCTGATTGAAGGTGCTCCACCTATGACTTCTGTCCCAAAAGAGGTCCGGGAGGCATGTTTGGGAGACCATCCGGGGCTTCTAAAAATGCATCCCAGCGCAAAAGCATGGCTAATGGCAGGGACGAAAGGTGTCGAATTCAAGAAGCCACCACCTCCTAAGTCTCCCATGCTTTCGGCTCCCCCAAAGGTGGCTCCGCCGCCACTTCCAAAGCCAGCTCATCCAGAACAGGTACCTGAGCCAAAGGAGCCGCCGAAAGCCCTAGCCCCCAAACCAGTTCCTCCAGTGCTGATGCAGAAGACACCAGCACCAAAGAAGCCCCCTCCGCCACTGCCAGCAGCCAACTATGCCATGCCGGCAAGAGCTATGGGACTCGGTTCAGGCGCAACAGCATCATCTTCTGAGGGCGCTCCGCCCACTGGGGTGAACCACTTTGGGTTTGACGAGTCTGAAGTCGACTATGGTGATGACGATGATCGAACCCCTGAGGAGAAGGCAGAAGATGAGGAGCTGCTCGAGAAGACCAAGACGAAAGTGGAAGCTTTCCTGCGAGCACCCCCAGAGATGAGGAAGACGCTTCGCTCCCAAGCATGGAAGCGGTGCAAGAGCAAACTGGAGGAGCTCAACTTTGAGTTCAGCACTCGTCCACTGCCCGAAATGCACCCAGGCAAATTCGAGAAGTATCTCAAGGATGGCTTCACCTATGCGGAGGCCAAACAACGCCAAAAGGGCCGGCAAGGGGCCGCCCGACATCAGCGAGCCTTGGCTGAAATGGAGGGTGCCTCCTTTGAGGATTTCCCGAAATCCTGGTCACATGGGTATTCCAAGCAAGTCCTGAAGCCGGGTTTCCTCGAAGAGAAGAACAAGGAGCGGGCCCGCCGAAAAGCTACAAAGGCCAACTATCGATCCGATAGATCACGCAGCACTCCACCCCCTCGCCAGTCAGCTGCTCCAGCTGCTGCATCCAACCAGGCTGAAGCTGAAAGCACGGCCAACTGGGAAGCAGGAAGTCAATGGCACGACTGGCAAGCGAGACGCAGCAGTGAGTGGCAACGGCATCAACCAGATGTCACACAACGGAGAGATGCAAATGCCGCAGACGATGACGACTGGGGCAACTGGACCAGAGATGGGCAACGAGGCAGCAACCAAGATGGCTGGTCCAGCTATGACTATGGAAACCATCAGGATCGACAGTGGAAACAGTGAGACTTTGCCGTGGCAATTCTGCATTCATCCGTGTTCCATGGAGGCTTCAACGTACAGGTTGCCTACTGAGAGCCGGGGAATGTCTGAGGCAGCCTTGATTCTTTGTTTCACGGTCGATACCATGTGGGTTTTCTTTTGCATGTCCATTGTAGATTTTTATTTGGCGGATGCCCATGCCTATTTCGGGGGGATATGCCGCTGACAGAATGTCGGCTGGCAAGTCTCTCTGGGTGAGTGGTTTGTACAGAGACTGCACCACTCGTCACAGACAAAAATAGGAGTCGTGAGCGCTCCGCTTGTTTTGGTAGCATGTCTCTAGCTAACTTGGATGTTCACTAGAACGGAGGGTTAGCGTGTTTTGCTACTGTCATTTTGGGCTCAAGTCTTTGCCCATTTTGATTGTTGGCCCTCCCACCCACCCGGGGGGATATGCCGCTGACAGAATGTCGGCTGGCAAGTCTCTCTGGGTGAGTGGTTTGTACAGAGACTGCACCACTCGTCACAGACAAAAATAGGAGTCGTGAGCGCTCCGCTTGTTTTGGTAGCATGTCTCTAGCTAACCAGGCTGTTTTCGATATCCGATATAGAGAAGCCACGCTCTTTATCCGGCAGTGGTGGTGCTTCTTTCCAGACATGATTTAGCGCCAGTCTTGGTTCAACCGACACTTTGGGAACATCCGCCCGTTGAGCCGGTTGAGCTATTTGACAATAGCTAGCGGTAACGCAATGCTCAAGTGAAACTTAAGCGTTGCCTGCTGACCTGAATGTCAACAAGCTTGGAGGTCAAGGGCAGGGAAAGTCAGTGAGTCAGTGGTTGGTGAAAATTGTGGCACATGGATGTGCTCGTGGTTCCAATGCTTGAGTAGTCCATCTGGCTTGATGCCACCAATAGATGTAGTCGTAAGCTGCAGTATTTGATCCCTTACACATCCGTTTGAAGAGAAACGTCGAATGGGCAGAGTGCCTTTTGCCTGGGAAACGATGTCAAACAACGGCCTTGGTTCAACCGACACTTTGGGAGCATCCACCGGTTGAGATATATATATCTGACGATAGCTGCTTGTGGTGTTGGATTGCCCCAGTATGCTCCAGTGAAACTTAAGCGTTGCCTACTGACCTGAATGTCAACAAGCTTGGAGGTCGAGGGCAGGGAAAGTCAGTGAGTCAGTGGTTGGCTCTCGACAAGCTGTCCTAACCATATCAACGCGCCATCATTTTTCCAAGTCATATGAACCTTAGCTTTCGCGCGCCCCCCCCCCGCGGGCTTCAAGTAATAGTAGAGTCTATCTAGCAAGTTCCTGCATTCATCCAACATCTTCGCAGCATTAGCCATTTGATCCGTCCGATGATTGCTGGTTGTGGTGTTGGATCAGCTTTGAACATGTGAAATGTGAAGCTTGAGCCTCGCGACCTGAACGTCTATGAGTTTCGTCGTGCTTTGGGATCCAGTCGTGTGCAGGGCCATGCCTCTTCTCCAGTTCCCAGACGAATGTTGATGTCTTCAGCATCTGCCACTCGGTGCGTAATGAAAGGACTGCTTGGACATGCTTGTGGTTCCAATGTTGCTCTGGTTCACTGGTGTTGATGTGGCTTGCTACAGGTCTGCGCAGTGTGGTTTGCCGATCAACGGACGAAAGTGAAACTCTCCCCGTTATCGACAATCCTTTTTGCAGGAAACATCTGTACACTCAGGGGTGAGGCTACTTCCGTACACCTGAGACTGATGTGTTCTCGTGACAAAAGCCGAAAGCTTGCGGTAGCTATAGAACCCGCAGATGACATGGGAGTTGTCGGACATACCCAAAAAAACGCTAAGTCCCATGTCATCTGCAAAGTGAAAAAGCAGAAACATGCATAAGTCCCGTGTCATCTGTAAAGTGCCTCGGAAAAAAATCACATGACATGGGACCTCTGCAATTGTTTGGGCTCTAAAAGAAGCAAAACATGCAGATGTGTTTTCCTGGAAGTCCTATGTCATGTGTATATTTAAGAACTTATTCACATGTCATCTGTCAAAAAAAATTAAAAATACCTGCCCGTTGGGTCGGCGCATAACTCAAAACATAGCAAAATCGATACATAAATCCCATGTCATGTGCCAAAAAACCTCGGGTAAATCGGCTGCAAAGTCCCGTGCTTCGGTCCCTTAAATCACGGGAGCGGATGCCGAAGCAGCTCCAGGGGGTGCACGTGGCCCACCTGATTGAGCCTGGCGGGCACCGGTGGAACCGCTGAAGAGTCTGATATCAAAATTAACAAACACTCAGCTGCTTTCAGAGGAGCATCCACCGGTTGAGATATATATTTGACGGTAGCTGCTTGTGGTGTTGGATTGCCCCAGTATGCCCCAGTGAATCTTAAGCATTGCCTACTGACCTGAATGTCAACAAGCTTGGAGGTCGAGGGCAGGGAAAGTCAGTGAGTCAGTGGTTGGTGAAAATTGTGGCACATGGATGTGCTCGTGGTTCCAATGCTTGAGTAGTCCATCTGGCTTGATGCCACCAATAGATGTAGTCGTAAGCTGCAGTATTTGATCCCTTACACATCCGTTTGAAGAGAAACGTCGAATGGGCAGAGTGCCTTTTGCCTGGGAAACGATGTCAAACAACGGCCTTGGTTCAACCGACACTTTGGGAGCATCCACCGGTTGAGATATATATCTGACGATAGCTGCTTGTGGTGTCGGATTGCCCCAGTATGCTCCAGTGAAACTTAACGTGGCCTACTGACCTGAATGTCAACAAGCTTGGAGGTCGAGGGCAGGGAAAGTCAGTGAGTCAGTGGTTGGTGAAAATTGTGGCACATGGATGTGCTCGTGGTTCCAATGCTTGAGTAGTCCATCTGGCTTGATGCCACCATTAGATGCAGTGAACATTGGCAAGCAGGTGAAAATTAAATACTCGCGCTTAGCTCCGGAGGAGCTAAGCACATGTCAGACTGAAGCAGCACATGTGTAGGGATGGCATCCCTCCAAAAAATTGCGCTGCCGTGATCATACTTGCGCTCAGCTCCTCCGGAGCTAAGCGCAAGTATTTTCCAACCAGTGCCCAAGGCTTGTTAAGAAATGTTAGTTTACAATTCCATTCGAGGGGTTGGATCACTATCCCACGGTTTCCAAGCAAAAAAAAGTGGAATTCGACAGGTTGGTTTTGTCCCCCCGCGCCCTCCCCCTCTATAGGGGTAGGATCCCTACCCTCTTAAAAATGGAATTTGAGGGGGGAGTCGTACTGAAATTTCATTTTAAAATTCCATTTTTGCAATCGTGTTTTCTCAATGATCAATATTCCTCATCATTCCATGTCATTGGCAAGCAGGTGAAAATTAAATACTCGCGCTTAGCTCCGGAGGAGCCAAGCACATGTCAGACTGAAGCAGCACATGTGTAGGGATGGCATCCCTCCAACTTGCGCTTAGCTCCTCCGGAGCTAAGCGCAAGTATTTTCTAAACAGTGCCCAAGGCTTGTTAAGAAATGTTAGTTTACAATTCCATTCGAGGGGTTGGATCACTATCCGACGGTTTCCAAGCAAAAAAAAGTGGAATTCGACAGGTAGGTTTTGTCCCCCACCCTCTTAAAAATGGAATTTGAGGGGGGGGAGTCGTACTGAAATTTCATTTTAAAATTCCATTTTTGCAATCGTGTTTTCTCAATGATCAATATTCCTCATCATTCCATGTCATTGGCAAGCAGGTGAAAATTAAATACTTGCGCTTAGCTCCGGAGGAGCCAAGCACATGTCAGACTGAAGCAGCACATGTGTAGGGATGGCATCCCTCCAAAAAATTGCGCTGCCGTGATCATACTTGCGCTTAGCTCCTCTGGAGCTAAGCGCAAGTATTTTCAAACCCGTGCCCAAGGCTTGTTAATAAATGTTACTTTACAATTCCATTCGAGGGGTTGGATCACTATCCCACGGTTTCCAAGCAAAAAAAAGTGGAATTCGACAGGCTGGTTTTGTCCCCCCCCGCCCTCCCCCTCTATAGGGGTAGGGATGGGGTAGGGATTAGTGAACGATCTGAACGGAACTGCTGACACGGAATAAGCAAATTGCCGGAAAATGTTCTCACTCACAGTAAGTGCTCTAAACACTCAGGTGATGCATTTGGGCACCTTCAGGTCGTCAAAATCAAGTCCTGGGCACAGCGCAACGAAGCTTGCGCTAGGCTCTCGATTTCATGTGCCCAAACTATCCTAAGCTCCTGGAGGCCACTGAGCCAAGAGGAGATTTGGGATGCCTATGGAGCTGTGACTTGCCCCTGAATTGTTTCTTGATACCCAGAGCAGATGTTGTTCTGCCATGTGGGACCCCATGTGTCATTTGGAAAAACTTGCGAACGGATCACATGGCTTTGCTTGTGGTGCGAAGGTCAGTACTTCAGACACTGCGCTTTCGGGTACCACATGAGGAACTACAGTTGCACCAACTGTTTCATATCTGAAGGATACTGTCTTTGGATGTGCTGCCCGAAGACGCCCTGAAAAAGGGGCCAGCTAGCATGTCGCATCTCGTAGGCAGCACTCGTCAGGGCTGACCCTGCTGAGTCTCATGTTGTGTGGGGACCAGCACGCAGAGTAATTAGCAAAACCAACTTACTCATGCCCGAGTTCATCCCAGCAACGGGGTTTCCAATGCAGCGTTTAATTTAATTCAGTTCGGCTTGCGCAGCGTGAGTGGCAAACTTTTCCACAGCAGATCTGCGTATCACGTCGCTTTGTCGAGATTTCCTCCGAAACCCAGATGTTTCCACCACTTACCCAGCAAAGAAACAACATCTCGAACTTTCGGAGTTGGAGGAGCCATTGCTTCATCAACACGGGGGCTCTTTATCGAACAGCTTTTGCCCCAGAGGTCCTGTCGCAATCGTCTTCTATTCTGCGCAATTAGGGCTGTATGAGGATGCCCCTGTATTGCCATGGTATTTCCCTAAAAATACAGAGGATTGACGTCCTGAAAAGGCCTTTGGGAAGGATTGGGTGCAAGGGCTTTTCACAAGGGCTTTT